CGAGGGCCTTTTTGCGGAGCTCCTTGTCGTGCGAGTAAGGGCACGCGTCCCCTTTTGGGCAGTTCCTGTGGTCGCGGAAATGGAAACAGATAGGCTTACCTTTTCCATTTCCTTTCGGACCAGCGGCAAGCGTGGAAGAGGCGGCCGCCTTGGCCGCGGCCTTAGAAGCCTTGAGCTCCGTCCTCAGCTTCTCGACCTCCTTCCGCGCGGCGGACAGGGCTGGGTCTTCCGTCGAACCTGCGTACACGCTATTAGCCGTAACCCGATGCGCAGCCTCACGCTGCTCATATTCGAGGACGACCTTATGCGCTTCTTCCCAGGTCGAAGGGCCTCGAAGCCCTGCGGATGCGCCGTCGCTAGGCCACAACCGCTTATCACCGCGGATCTCCTTCTGGAGATGTGGAGGCATCTTGCGCAAGTAGCTTAGGAAGAGCTCCCTCGCTGTCTTGCCAAGAACCACACTCTCCAGCTCCGCGATGGAGGCCTCAAACAGGGGCTCGAACTGGTGCCCTGTGAGACGGCCCTTAGTGAGGGCGACGTGCTCCGCGTCCACCCTCATCTCCTTCTCTTCTCGGCTCTCGCCGAAGACAAGGTGCCGCTGCTTGATCCTTTCGTAAACGGCTGGGGGATTCTCAGTAACTTCCCCGGTCTTGGAGGCAGCCTTGTACACGTTAGTAAAGGTCTTAAGCCTCGAGCCGCGGCAGCGAGCACGAAGGGCGATGAGTTTCTCCCGGAAATTCATCCCCTTGCAGTTGTTGGCAAGGCCACAGACGTCCTCGAACTCTTCGTAGAACTGGACCACGTCCCGGATGTCGGAGCGATCGTCGGTGAGCGAGGGCCATTGGAGGTCCGTCTTCACGGTCGTGATCGACGTCTGACCTCCGCGAGACTCCAAGGCCTCCTTGAGCGCCTCGGTCTGGGCCGCCAAAGCTGCAGCGAGCTCTCCGGCTCCGCCGCTGGCGGAGTGAGGCTCGCCGGGCTTATCCTTCTTAAGCCCTTCGAGCTCTATCTCCAGAGCCGCAAGGCGGGACTTCAGGGGTGGGTCCCCCGGACCAGGTTGCGGATCCTCAGGGATCGCGAGCTGAAGGTCCACCGGGAGAGGCGCCGGTGCTCCGGACTTAGAGCCCGACTCCGCAACGGCGCCCGTCCGGGCCGCCAGGGCCGGGACAGAAGAAGGAGTGCTCCAAACCTTCTCGGGATCGCCGCTGCTCTTGCCTCCCAGGGCCAGGATCAGCTCGCCGAGGCACGAGATCTCCTTCTCGACCTCCTCTCGGTCTTCCGACCCAAGAGAAACCGCGGCAACGGTAAACCTGGTGCGCAGGGCCCGCACCATCCTGGCCGGGTGCCAGTCACCTCCCATTTTGCCGTATTCCTCGGCAAGGATGGTGGCCTTGGTAGTGATCTTCTCAAGATCCTCCACCGTGACCTCTGCCTGGTGCGCCTTCAAGGCCACAACCAGCCTTGAAACCCGCGTCAGGTAATCCTCGACCGGTTCCTGGTCGGGACGGTAGAGCTCCCGCAGGTCCGCCTGCAGGGTCTCCGCCGTGACGGGACCACCCGTCCCAGCAGACGAGGGAGGCCCGGAACGGGCCGGGCCGCCGGCCACCGGCGAGAGAGCAAGCGCACCAACACGGCGCGCCGTCTCGTCCACGTCCGCCGGCGCAGCGGCAGGACGCGGAGCCGGTACCCCGGCCTCCGGCAGAAGCTCTTCAGAGCTGGGGCCCGGATCGCCATCCTGAGCACCCGGGCCCGCTTCCGCAGCTGGAGCTTCCTCATCTTCCTCTTCATCTTCTTCCTCTTCCTCTTCGGCATCGAAGTTGTCGTAGAGTAATTCCATCGTCTCCTTCCACAGACGCTGTTCATCTGCTAGCGTCGTGGATCGTCCGTCCTTCTTCTTGGTGGGACGGGACCCCGTTTCCTTACGCCAACGGAGCCAGTACATAAAGGGCATCTTCTCCGGGTACTCCACTGACCCATCCTCGATGCACCTCAGCAACGTGGCTCCTTCCGGCTGACCTGCGACCTCAGCGCTCATTGTCGCCTAGCGAAGGAGAGAGCCCCGTGCCACACAGGACCACGGCCTCAAGGCGCACGACAAGCGCGCCTTCGAGGCCACGTTAAAAGATTGCGGCGCAGCAGCCGCCTGGGTGGCCGTTTCCCAGAACCGCCCCCAATTGTGGAGAACGGAAACCCAAAGGGGCAGCACGCACCCTCGTTTTCCGTCCAAGCAGAAAGTCCAACGACCGTGACAGGTCGAACGTCCGCCCAGGACGGCCTGCGCGCAATTGCGTCGCGGCAACGAGAAGCTACCAACGACACACTGCCGTGCTCACTTGAGCCAAAAATGTTATGAATACGAATTACAGAAGAGCATGCATAAAAGCATACAGCACAACAGCCAGCCCGCAGACTATGTACAGTTACATAGCAGTAGCAGTAGCAGTAGCAGTAGCAGTAGCAGTAGCAATAGCAGTAGTAGTAGTAGTAGTAGTAGTAGTAGTAGTAGTAGTAGTAGTAGTAGTAGTAGTAGTAGTAGTAGTAGTAGTAGTAGTAGTAGTATTAAATAATAATAATAATATTAATAATACTAATAATAATAACAATAATAATAATAAACAATAATAATAATTTTAATAATATTAATTTATAATAATAATAATAATAATAAAATATAAATTAGTAGTCAGTAGTAGTAGTAGTAGTAGTAGTAGTAGTAGTAGTAGTAGTAGTAGTAGTAGTAGTAGTAGTAGTCGTAAACCTTAAACCCTACTCGGTCCTGGTCTTGGCTTGGCCGTCCAGCTGCGCCGTTGTCAGGCGTCGAGGATGGTTCTCGCCCCGCTCCTAGTGCTTTGGGCTTTAGGCTGAAGGGCTTTAAGGATGGACTACGCATTGGCATATTGCCTCGGAACCTGGGGGCCTGGCTGCTCGTACCGAAGAGCCTTGGAGCCTTGGAGCCTGTCAACGAAGAGCTTGCATCGCAAACCAGGCAACATTCCCTGTTCATTCCGGCAGCCGTGGAGCCCTGGAGCCCGGAACCCTTGCATTTCAACCACAGTTAGGCTTGGTCCGGAGCCAGAGGCCAAGGAGGTTGGAGCCTTGGAGCTTGGGAGCCTTGCTTCACATTTCGACCACAGTCAGGCTTGGCCCGGAGCCAGAGGTCAAGGAGGGTCACCATCTTCAGGTAGGGAGCTTGGAGCCTTGCTTTACATTTCGACCACAGCTAGGCGGCTTGGGGCTCCGCAAACGCCAAGAAGGGTCCCCCTTTTCATTTCGGTAGCCTTGGAGCCTTGGAGCATTGCCTTACATTTCGACCACAGTTAGTCTTGGCCCGGAGCCAGAGGCCAAGGAGGGTCCCCCTTTTCATTTCTACATTTGGACCGGGAGCCAAAGGCAAGCAGGGTCCCACTTTCTGGAGCCTTGGAGCCTTTTGGCGCAAAGCCAGCTTGGAGCCTTGCCTTGCGAGCCTTGGAGCCTTGCTTGGCACCCTTTCGTCATGTTGACCACAGGTAGGCTTGGCCCGGAGCCAGAGGCCAAGGAGGGTCCCCCTTTTCATTTCTTGGAGACTTGGAGCCTGGGAGCCTTGCTTTACATTTGGACCGGTAGCCAAAGGCAAGCAGGGTCCCACTTTCTGGAGCCTTGGAGCTTTTTGGCGCAAAGCCAGCTTGGAGCCTTGCCTTGCGAGCCTTGGAGCCTTGCTTGGCACGCTTTCGTCATGTTGACCACAGTTAGGCTTGGCCCGGAGCCAGAGGCCAAGGAGGGTCCCCCTTTTCATTTCTTGGAGCCTTGCAGTCTGGGAGCCTTGCTTTAGAGCCAAAGGCAAGCAGGGTCCCACTTTCTGGAGCCTTGGAGCCAAAGCCAGCTTGGAGCCTTGCCTTGCGAGCCTTGGAGCCTTGCTTGGCCCCCTTCATTTTGACCACAGTTAGGCTTGGCGCGGAGCCAGAGGCCAAGGAGGGTCCCCCTTTCATTTTGACCACAGTTAGGCTTGGCCCGGAGCCAGAGGCCAAGGAGGGTCCCCCTTTCATTTTGACCACAGTTAGGCTTGGCACGGGGCCAGAGGCCAAGGAGGGCCCCCCTTTCATTTTGACCACAGTTAGGCTTGGCCCGGAGCCAGAGGCCACGGAGGGTCCCCCGTTGAAGAAAAAACATTTCGACCACAGTTAGGCTTGGACGGGAGCCAGAGGCAGGGTCCCCCTTTTCATTTCACAGCCTTGGAGCCTTGGAGCCTGCATCTTGACTCTCTTTCGCTGAAAGAGGGTCTCATTCTAGTCAGGTTCTTCACTCAGCATGCCTGGTCGTACCGAGCTGTCTGCAGCGAGGCAGATTCAAGGCCAGAAGCAGTAGAACACAAACGTACATGAGGGCAGGGTGCTTTGAAACTAAACCTTGTGGCCTTGACGACGATGGGTCGATGTCGATGCGGTCCCTCGCAGCATCGAATCATCCTGGCGACAGCCAAGATCCGCTGTCAAATTAATTAAACTTGACTGTCCAACGCAGCACGGGTCCTGACAGCTTCCTTGGCGCTGCGGCCGTGGACCACGCTTGCCCATCTCCCTGCCTGCAAAGAACGACATGTGAACCAGGTTACATGTGGAATTTGGGTGCGTTCACATGACTCACGACACTGGCCTCTGCTTTTTCGGACAACCCCCGCGCTGAGAATTAAAATAATTGAATTAGGGATCCCAGCCAGTCTTGCGCCAGACCTTGGAGCCTGGGAACCTGGTAGCAGCGACACGCCCTGCAAACAGCTTGTCACGACGCACTTCACCACTTCGGCAAGATGCAACGCACGGCACTGTGCGGAATCGGTTACAACGAGGAAACTCACTGCATCTCACATTGCATGCAATCTTGCCCCCATGCTCGGATATGCTGCTAACTGAACACACGAAGGCTATGAAAGTCACACCCTACTAACCCTGAAACCCTTTAACCGACTCTAAACACACGTTAAACCATACGAGCCATCATCAAATAAAAATGGAGGCTCAGTCGAGTCATTTCTGATTCAGACAGAGCTCCGGCCACCGCCGCTTTCCGGGGTCTGGAGCACAGCCGACCAACACAACCAGCCCCCATTTACCGGCTCGAAGCACCTTTGTGCAGCACGTGTGACTTGCAGCGGGGCAATTGGCTAAGTCGCTGCGTGTTTTCCACAGCTCGGGCCACTGCTTGCACCACGCTCTCAGTCCGGCCTCCCCCTTGGGCATGAAGGGATTCCCGGTCTCCACCTCAACCACCACGCAAGCATAGGCCCACATATCCACAGCTGCAGTCAGCAGCTGCTTTCTGACACCGCAGTCTCCATCGCCATTCACACGAGCGGGCCACAGCTCCGGAGGTCGATAGGCAGCCGTGACATACTGCAGGAACCTGGGAGCCTGAGAAGCCTTCTGGAGCCGTGCCATGTTCTCACTCATGCCGAAGTCGCACACCTGCACCTGATCTGTGCAAGGGCACCAAAGAACATTGCCAGGTTTCACATCCAAGTGTAGGATGCCTGCGTCATGCAAGGTCTGCAGTGCACTTCTCAGCTGAGCTGCCACAGACCACGTCCTCGGCTTGCCATGCGCCGCAGGATTTCGAAGTGCGGTTGCCAGGCTGGGCCCACATAGGCTAGTAGCCATCCATGGCCAAGGTCTGCCCGTGCCACCCGAGCTGACAAGAAGCGGGAACCACATCATCTTCTGCTGCGGAACGGCCTTCATTAGAAGCTTCATCTGCTCCACTTCGTGCCTGCAATCCGCGGGGCCATCGGAGCCACGATAAACCTTCACCTCCACGTTAAGGCCGCTTTGCGGATGCTGGCAACTGTAGACACTGCCATAGGCTCCGCCTCCAATTGGAGCCCTTGCACCATTAAGCTCAAATGGGCCAACGCGACCGCCAGATTCGTCAGCGGCAGGGGGGTCCTTCGCCTAGTCGGGGCCGCCCGCACTGGTCGTGGAGCCCCGCATCCTGATGCCAAGAACGGCCAGTGCACTTCGCTGAGCCATGAACTCATCTTTTCTCCTCGCCATGAATGGTGCCTTCTGCTTGTCGGTCATGCCCTGCCAGACTGCGCCAAGATGCTTCATCTCATTGAGAAACTCGTGCTTGGGAGCGCCTTTCTTGACTTCGGAGTTTTCCTGGAACAAGATGACGAAGGCCCTTCGAGCCTTGGGGACCAAGCCGTCTTTCACAGCCTGCTTCCGCAAGCTCTGCGATTTGCTGCCACC